TTTGAAGGTAATTCTTGTAGTACTGGGGTGATATGATCATGACGATGAGTGTGAGTGATACATCTGGCAACAGAATTTTGGATTCTTTGAAGTTTCTGGGGTGATTTATTTGAGAGGTTGGCATATAGTGAATAACAGTAGTCGAGTTTGGAAGTTACAAGACAGTGCATCAGAAGTTTACAAGTGTCCGTATCAAGGAAGTGGCGGACTTGGGTGATGTTATCGATGTTGTAGTAGCAGGCTCTACCGATGGAGGTGATGTGCGCATCCATGGACATGTTGGAATCAAGGATGACACCAAGATTCCGGTCACTTTCTGATGGTAGGATGTCTGTGTCACCAATACGAAGTGAAGGTAATGACAAAGCAGTCTTCAACTTTATAAGCTGATGTTTGGAGCCGATGAGAACGAACTCAGTCTTCTCCTCATTCAACTGCAAGTAGTTGGAGGTCATCCACGATTTGATTTCATTAATGCATAGCTCAAGTTTGTTGATATACAGTGAAACATCGTCTGATTCAAAGGCAATGTAGAGTTGCGTATCATCCCCATATATGTGGAAACCAATGTAATGCCGCCTGATAATGTCACCAATGGGGAGAATGTAGACTGTAAACAGAAGGGAGCCAAGAACTGATCCCTGGGGAACACCATATAACAATGGTGACTTTGATGATTGAACATTTCCGATTTTGACAGATTGTGTGCGACCTCGTAAACATGAAGAGATCCACTTCAGCGCATTTCCTGTTATCCCAATGTGATTTTTAAGTCGATGCAGGAGTAAGGTATGATCTATGGTATCGAATGCGCTGGAAAGATCAAGGAGCACAAGCGCTGTCACCTTCTTCTGGCCAATATAGAGAAGGATATCATTGTGGATTCGCACCAAAAGCTGTCTCCGTACTATGAGATGTCTTGTAGGCCGACTGGAACGATTCTGCAAGGTGGTTTGTCTCAAGATGTACCTTCAGTTTGCCAGCTACCACTTTCTCTAAACATTTGGAAACAAATGAAAGGTTGGAGATTGGACGGAAATTTTTCAAATTGTTTTCATCAGCTCCAGGTTTTTTTAGAACTGGCGTGACAATTGCATGGTAAAAAAACAGCACTCGGAACAGTGCCAGAGGAGAGAGATGAGTTCATAATGTCCCATACTGCAGGTGCTAAATAGTATAGCACAGACTTGAACAACCAGGTAGGAATGGGATCCAGTGGTGAAGATTTAGATGGTGCATTCTTCATGATATCCAGTACAAGGTTGACAGAAACATGTCCAAAGCTTTCAAGCACATTACCAGAGAACTTGCTTTCATTAGAAGTATCCTGTATCAAGATTGGTTCTAATCCGATGTATCTTGTCCTGAAAGAATGTAGCGAATTTCTCAGCCAGAACAGTTGGAGTACTGTGCTCTGGAAGCTTGTGTTCAGAGTTACCCTTTATAAGTTGGTTCAACAGTTTGAACAGTTCTTTTGAGTTGTTCTTATGTTTGGTTATATCATCTGATACAAACTTTTGCTTTGCTGTTTTCAAGGCTGAGTTCACTTTATTTCTGGTAACTTTATATATCTGGCGATGAACTTCGAGTTTGCTGCTGCGCCAAGATTTTTCAGCAGATCTACACAGATGTTTCAAGTGTCTGACTTCATCATCATACCAACTTGTATTTGGACTAACAATGATGGAACGTTTCCTAATAGGAGCATGACTGTCAAGAATGTCTACCAGACTGTCATTAAAAGTTTCACATTTGGAGTCAACATGATCGGCATTGCATACATTTGCTGTGATGTCGCATCTATCTAAGTCATCAGCAAAAATATCCATATCAATGCTTCGTGTTTTGCGATAAGTGAAGACCTTCTCGGACTGGTCCAGGCTTTGATAGATCAAGAGTAATGTCAATCAAAAAATGATCAGAAATCTGCTTATCTGAAACATCATTAATTGAGATGAAGTCATCCATTTCTCTAGTAATAACAAGATCCAAAGTATGACCTAGTTTGTGTGTGGCTGTTTTCATATGTTGTCGGAGATTAGCAGATGACAGTAGCTGAAGGAAATCCTGTGCAAACTTGTCAACACTTTTGTCAACATGAATATTAAAATCACCAGTGATCAGAAGTGCCCATGAGAGACTGCTACTGTTTCAATTAGTTCTGACATTTCAGTAGTGAACATTTCAGTTGTAAGTTTATTTTTCTTTGATGGTGGTGGTCTGTAGACAATGAGATGTTTGACTTGTTCATTCCTGATGTTTAAGGTGAGATCAAGAACCTCAAATGACTGGAATGCATGAACACTTGACTTGACAGCTTTCATAGAGCTTTTGTATACGACTGCTACAATATTTGTGTAAATATTGTGTAAATAACATACAATGCATCGAAAAGCACTGTTTTTCGGAAAGGGAAACAATCTTGTCCTGAGCTCTCATTCTCCTTTTGCGACACCTCTATTAATATAAGTTCATCAGTAAAATATGGTGGTATTCTATTCTCATCAGATCCGTCTTGTAAAGATAGAGTTTTCGCTAACTGTCAAAAGGCCAGGCAAACCATAAATTCTTTGCGCTCATTGGGTCTTAACAGTACTGACTTACATCCAGTTACATGTGTTAATATATGGAAAAGAATGGTTTTACCTCCAAGTTTCTATGGTTGTGAAACCATGCCTACGCTATATGGCAAAAACATTGATCTGGTGGAAAATACCCAACGATATTTCGCTAAATATATTCAAGGGTTCAACAGACGTATGCCAACATATTCTGTATGTGCCATCCTAGGTCTCTGGACAATGGTTGGGTACATTGACAAGTGTAGATTATTATTCCTTGGAAGATGATGTAATAACGCTTGTAATTCATCAACAAAAACACTGTTCTGTGCATTTTTATCACTCACTGTTCATTTAAATATTAGCTCACGCAGTATTTGCAACACTCTGTTATGTACAGCACGGAAGTATAATCTGCTGGACTATGTTTTAACTTACGTGCAAACTGATATTTTTCAAAGACAGTTTATGCGCAGAATAGTTGTAAGTTGTATCTTCTCTTATGAAGAAGCTCAATGGAAATTGAGGCTTCCATAAGAGAGGATATGTCCAGATATGCTGTAATCCATCAAACACTGAGTCTACATAGACTTTACACACTAATGTATCTGTACCCAGAATATAAAGACCATATACAGCTTGCTGTACTAGTCGGTTCTAAAGCCAAATTCTCAAAAGAATGTATGCTTTGTAATAAGTACTGCTATGACCACGATGCCAACATCATCTTACATTGTGAATCTGCAATGAGCCAAAGAAATATTTTTTATATGTCCTACTGGACGTAGAATTATATGTATTAACTGAAATGCTTGATGATGAAGATGCCCTTGTACTGTTTTGTGGTGCAAAACTTCACATCCCTGGCCTTCATGAAACAGCATGGCAAACCATCATACTACATTTTTCGAACTGTATCTATTCTTTAAAAGATTCCTTGATGTATACTTTCTGAACTATCATTGTTGTAAATAACCTTGCTTTGTACATATCATATGTACATATATGTAACTGACTGATGTTTGTTTATGTAATCTTCGAATATCTTTTAGGAGGAAATAAAGACATTCATTCATTCATACAAGCAGCTTCATATATTTGAGAATATCAGATGATTCTACTGCAGGCTTGTGCCGACTTTCTTGGGTTCAGAGGCTGAGTGCAGATCCCAAGTTGTTACAAGAAAACAATAACATCTTGCAATCGGAGAACGTTCATTGCTTTTATCTGTATTGCCAACATGAAATGATACCAACATTGGACAAGGAAACATAACAGTACTAACGAGAACGATTTGACAAACCAGGAATGATCCAGATAAATTGCATTGTCCACATGTAATGTCTCGTGTAATGGTTCCGAAACCGTCTATCTCTATCAGTCAATTTTCTAAGATGACCTTTCTTCTAACGACCAATGTTAACATTTGTATGTCATGATCCGCTAATTCTTTTTCACTTTACGTGCAAGTCATATGACTTTAAGGTGCACTCTTCATCTCTGTAGGCTTGCATTCATACATAGCATATATCATATTTATATATTTACATAATCTATCCAGTACCTCGAAGGAGGTTCCATGTCGTGGTGTGTGTGTGTGTGCATGTGCGTGTGCGTACGTGTGCGTGTGTGTTTGAGTGTGTGCCTGATATACTGGCATACGTGGACAAAAGGCGTCTACGCTAAGACGATAAGGACGCCGAGATGAATAAGTAAAACATCCGGATTCAAACCTTTTCCGAATACGATCCTTGGTATCAGCGCCTGGCCGATGCTCTGAGTCCCAAAGTGGCGAAAGGTCGACAGACGTCACCCTGGGCTTCCCTTTCCCTCTTTAACAGCTTACAACCAGATATACCTGAAATACCATCCACAGCGGGGTTAGGTCCCACTTACTATCACAAGTTGACATTACCTGTGTAAAGACCCACCAGTATGTCTATTGTATGCATGTTAAGAGAGTCATACCGCTGTCGATACACTGGAAAGTCCTACATTCAGGCCGATTGTGTAAGTGAAGGAGGCACGCATGAGTAGGTGACCCTACTAGCCTAACCACATATAGGCCGTGTTCCTCACGACATTGCACTGCGAAAGGGAGGTAAGTGAGAACGTTCCCGTTTGACTCCCCGCTACCCCAAATGTACTGCGTACACGGAAGCCCGGAAAAACCTCTGATTGATGTATACACATACAATGCTCCAACACTTGCAGTGCAGTATCATATGCTCCCGTATTTGGTTCGAGTGTGATTGGCTTTGTCCTGTAAGTAATAGGCATATACAGGTATTCAACATACAGAAATGCCCGGCAGAGATTAAGGAAAGTTTGAACATGATGAAGATAAATTCAAACAAGAATTCCCAAGATTGTCTGAAAATGTTAATGTATAAATATGGCCTAATCCATAGGAATGTACTCAGTTCCGATCAGCTCGTTTACTGGCATATTGGGTGTCTAGCTCTCCTGATTACATAACAGCCATCTTAACAGTCTCACTTCCAACTCTGCTGAAATGGAATCGCGTAGTGCAGTTTTGGTATTCACGACAGGTTGGTTACAATTATTAACAACATTTACCTCATTACACTTTCAGTATTAGTCCTATGTTCATGGTGTAAGAAAAAGGTCGTCCATTAATTTTATACATTGCTCTTTCGCATAACATCTGAATATGTTGTACCTACAACATCAGTCGGTCGAGGTAACGATTCACCTGAGTGTTTCCCTTGATCAATGAGGATGAGCTGTACCATCATCATCATCATCATCATCATCATCATCATCATCATCTTGTTTCCTCTATTAGGAGATTATTGTGAGGATATTTACAAATTTGGACAGTAGGTGGACAATTACATGTTTTCAATAAGAGATGTTAGTAATTAAAGAGTGGGTTTGATTAGGAATTGCAAAACATAGGGGAACATGTATGATATGACGGATAAGGTATAGTTCATATGTTTCTAGCATCTGCAAAGTGCCGAGCTAATACTGAAACAGTATCAAAGGGCCGTCAAACCCAACCCACTAAACATGTCTTTGTTACTTCATATAGTGCCTGGTATCATGTTTAGTATGTCCCAAGTAGCAGTTATTTACAGTACATGATTCATGTCTAAACTCGCCATGTAGATAACATACCGTTGTGCAAGTCTTTTACTACATTTTTACAGCAATTAATTTGACTTTCATATCAGTGGTGCTATTATCGTCACAACTCATTCCAACAACGATCGCTGCACCGCTTGCCGAGGAGGACGGGCGTTGGGTGAACCCTTGTGGAGGGAGTCGGCCCATCTCCGGATCAGCTGTGAATCTTCCCACACCCCCACCCAAGCCCATCAGCACCGAACTAGCTACACTGAAACTCATGGCACAGACCGCTGTCAGTCTCTGTGACGAGACAACATACACAATAGTAAGTCGTATCACAGGCAGCTTTCATACCTTTGTACCACACTGATGCTGATTGGTGTTGTACCCCCTAGTAGTTCGGATCCGCTGATCGTGGGTTCGAATCTCCCCATTAAGACGTATGCTTGTCAACATACCCGTTGGTTTGAACCAAGCTGTTATTACTATTATCCAAATACCTGAGTGTAATCTCACTTCCTGGTTGTGGCATAGATGTGAAACAATTTGATGTTAGTTTTAAATATGTATGTCGTTTAAAATGTTTTAAGAAATTAAGATAAGGATTGGCATTTTAAAAGTTGGTGGGTAATAAGAAAGTAAGATAATTTTTGGATAACAACGTCTATATTATATATTTCATATAAACCACCAACTTCTAAAATGCCAATCAAACAAAACGTTTAATGTTTTGTCGACTAAAACGCTCATAAGCCTGACTCGAACTGATTAAAACACAATTTGTAATCGCAGTATGATGCAGTTGTGTCGACTGCACGTTGAGACATTAATGACATTTTTTCTCGAAAACTAACATATTGACCAAAAGGCAAGGGCCCGACCCGGGCAATCAGGGCCAACGCAACCCCCAAGACTTCCACAGACTGCAGGAATGTTTTCTCTGAATGTTGTATATACTGTCTCCCAATGATAGGAATCTATTATGTTTCTTACAGCGATCTAGAATAGGCACCTCCATGGCTGTTGCTGCAGCCAGTATCCCCCTGGATGGATTCCCCGATACGGGCGCTTCATACACAAACGGAACAACGGTAGGGTCAACTTACGTGGTAATACACAATTATCTAACAATTATAGTCTGTTTGCAGTGAAAACGTACCAGTGAATTTCACTTTAAGCAAAAAAGTAAATCAAGTTAAGTGAAATTAAGATTGCGAGTCCTCATAATTTTACCTTGCCATTTGAACATTTAAATCTCAAAATTTTATTCAACTTAGTTGGTTAACAAACGATCATAAATTCAAATCGCTATTATTAGTTTGTATTACAAGGAGGTGAGCGCAGTAGATGGAACAGTGAAACAAATGCACATGCGGAACGTGATGAGCGTTAACTTAAACCAACACTACTTGTTCTCGGTGTTTCATTATAAAGTGCATACCCCCTTGTAATGCAAACCAATAATAGTGAGTGAGTGAGTGAGTTTAGTTTTACGCCGCTTTTAACAATATTCCAGCAATATCACGGCGGGGGACACCAGAAATGGACTTAACACATTGTGCCCATGTGGGGAATCGAACCCGGGTTTTCGGCGTGAAGAGCGAACGCCTTAACCACTAGGCTACCCCACCCTCCCCCAAACCAATTATAGCGATTTGAAACTATGCTCGTTTGTTAAACAACTTTTATCCTAAGTTGAATAAAATTCTGAGATTTGAATGTTCAATTGGCAAGGTAAAATTATGAGGATTCGCAATCGTAATTTCACTTTATTCGATTTATCTTTTTGTTTAGAGTGAAATTCATTGGTACGTTTTCACTGCAAACCGACTATGAAGAGGATGAATAACCTCTAATTTCTCTAACCTGTTGCTTTAAGTATACCTGTCGACGTGCTTGAGTTTGTGTGAACGATCAAGGGCTAGAGTTCGATATATCGTAACATGACTTTTTGTACAACCAGTTATGTTTCGTTAACATACATGATGTCATCGTCATCAGTGAAGTTATTGTAGCAATATTCAACATCTAGTTGCATGTCAGTAGCAGGGTATGAACCAACTAAACTTTTGGTTGATAACCGTGGTATACTTGTCAACTTTTCATATTTAATTCATTGGATGATGATGATGATGATGATGATGATGATGATGATGATGATGACATTCTTCAGATTGAAGAAATGCTCTTGAAGGAAGTTGACCGGTTGTCGAAGATTGGAGTTTTCCTGGAACAAGCCGCACATGATACGTATGACTATGCTGACAAAATCAGACAAGTTGAAAACAAGAATGTGGAAATGTTGTGTAAGTTGCACATTATGTTGAAGGGACTTCACCAGGAAGTTGCGACAAATGTGTCACGTGATATCATGCCAAGCGAATACAGGACCCTTGATGAGATATCCCAGATCGACGTGAGGAACTACATTCTGGTCCGCGGTACCCAGGCCATTGTTGTCCTCATGTCGGAAGGGATCGATGTGTACTTGCAGGGGAACAGCTCCTAAACGTTTCTGTTATGACGCAGGCACGTACAAGGATATTTGCTTTATTTTACGACTTCACTAGTAACATGACATTCATATCATGCATGTATTCATGTCCAAGTTAACCTGTTTAATGGGAGACTGACATTCTATGCGGTAACACACTGTGCATTTTCCATGTTGTTTTGAAAAAAACATTAAAGTATATACTTTTATGCAGGAGTTTTATTACAAGAACAGTGTCTTTTAGACTTTTTCTCCATAAGACCTAATGTTCACATTGTTTGTATACCCAGAGGAAGATCTGTTATGTTGTATATAATCCAGGTAATATGTCCACAGATTGTAATGTTAACACACGTCCGTCGGGTAATGTTGTGTGAGTATATGTGGGAAGGATGTTCTGATTGGCTGACTGCTAAGGGTGTTATATATGTTATTAACATTGTTTGTTACCATTATGGCTCTTTTATTTTATATATATATATTTATATATGTCTTATTTGACAAATGTTTTACAAAATCTTGCTATGAAATATTTATATTTTTGTACTTTTCAAAATAAAAATATGTCAGTAACTGATCGTTAATTCTGTAGAAAAAGCGGAAATACTTCCGCCACATTCCCAGATACCCCTGACTCATTATCATGCAGCACAACCTCACCTCGTACAAACTGAGATTCACTTTATTTCTTAAGGGGGCGGTGGGGTAGCCTCGCTCGTCACGCCGAAGACCCGGGTTCGATTCCCCACATGGGTACAATGTGTGAAGCCCATTTCTGGTGTCCCCCGCTGTGATATTGCTGGAATATTGCTAAAAGCAGCGTAAAACCCAACTCACTCACTCACTCATTTCTTAGGTGTGTTGCTGCGTTGTAGTGCCACTTTAAGCCATAAAGCATATTGTCAAATATACAAAGAGCATCCATCCCTCAAGTGATACCCGAGTCTTATAAAGGGTTCACATATTATATCGAATGTCCGGTTTCGATTCCCCTCATGGGTATGAAGAACATATCTGGTTCTCCATAGGGTTGCATGAATAATGCTAACAACGATTAACACTATACTTCGTCACCCACTTAGTACAATCAGCTGTAACATAAACGAACGGTTGTCCGGGAAAGGTTCATCTTAAGATACTGCCTCTCCCAGCAGTCGAACACATGGCTTGGTACTGAATTGTGAAATTTGATTGGTTAAATGATAGCACTATGTGGATATGTAAGCGGTATGCATGTTGAGTAAATGCCAGCAGTGTGTGGAAATGTAAGCCGTATGCATGTTGAGTAAATGCCAACAGCGTTTGGAATTAAATACTTAAAAACAAGTAATTTATAAGCGTAACCCACACACGCAGCAATATTCCAGCTATATAGCAGCGGTCTGAAAATAATCGAGTCTGGACCACACAATCCAGTGATCAACATCATGAGCATCGACCTACGCAATTTGGATAAGATGACTTGTCAACCAAGTCAGCGAGCAAAAAAACAGATTATATACCAAAACACTCAAACAGTTTAAGAAGTCAGTAACTATCACTGTCTCACACTCCAACCTTCAAGGAGCTAAAAGACCAGGCTATTACCCCCGAAGACGCTAATATGGTATATCAAATACATTCACATCATCACTTTAAATTTTTGTGTTCCATTCATGTTTTTATTTATATATTTTATCATGTCTGTAAGTGTATTACAGTGGAACTGCTAAACTGCCAAATGCCCGTCAAAAATGAATTCAAAGCTCTGCTAACACAAAAACATAATTTCACCTGATATAATTCTTCTACAAGAAGCCAGAATATCAACAAGAAAATCTATATATTTTCCACACTACAATATCATCAGAAAAGATAAAACCACAAATATCAAAGGACCCCGAAAGGGCGGCCTCATCACTTCAATTAAACAAGGCATCGATTACCAACAAATCGATATCAACTGAAAAGAAATAGAAAACATAACTATAAAAATAAATATAGCAAATAATCAAACTATGAAACATCACAACAAAACGCACCATCCGTAAAATACCTTTATTTAACAGCATGATTTTCAATTTCGGCGTGTAGTGTCACAGAATACACAAGTCACATGAAATGCACGTGAAAGTTGGGGATCAGATAGTCTCAATGATGGGTATAAAAGGTTGATCGCTGTCTGTCGATTATTCACTGTATTTGGAATATTGTTGACAAACGCAAAATGCCACGTCTAAGTGAAGCCAACCGTCATATCGCCATTGGTTTGCTTGAAGCTGGCCAGTTTCAACGTGCAGTTGCCCGACGCATGAATGTTCACCAAAGCACCATTTCAAGGCTCTGGGAGAGATATCGCTAGCAGAATGCGGTAGCAGATGCCCCCTCGTAGTGGGCGACCTTGAGCGACCACTGCGGCGCAGGATCGCTACAGACCGGGTACATCACCTGCGTCATCGGACAGCTACGGCGACCAGTACCGCTCGACAAATACCCGGATTGAGGAGGTTTTCTGCACAGACCGTCAGGAACTGGTTGAGAAAGACTGGTTTACGTGCCAGAAGACCTTATTTTGGCCCTGTGCTTCGACAACAACATCGTCGACATCGAGTTCAATGGTGCACCAACGTTCAGGCCTGGAACCTACCGAATTGGCGTAGAATCTGGTTCAGTGATGAATCACGATTTCTATTGGAAGGACGCAATGGAAGAATGCGGGTGTACAGATGTCGACGTGAACATTTCGCCGACGCTTGCGTTCCCCAGGTGGACAGATTCGGCCGGTACAGTGTTATGATGTGGGGAATAATGATTGTTTTCTATCCATTTTACTATTATAGTGCCCTTTTTACAGGTGGTGGTATCCTCTTCCCAAAAGTCATTGTGGGCATTGAAGTCCCCTGCTATATAGTTGCTGTTTTTATATATACTCTCCCAAAAAAGAAACGCATATAGGAATTTTAACTGTATTTTTATGTTTATTTTGAAACGTCTTGTAGGCTTTATGAGTCAATGAAATATAGCGAAATTTCACACTGGGAATGCAGACTTATCCGTCTTTGGCACAAACTCGAGGAAAGTCAGTTTGAGTGTCACATGGAGACGTGTGGTGGCGCTGAAGTCAATACGTCGTGTGACCACCGTGGGCATCCAGAACTGCACGGCATCGCCTCGGCATCGAACGAGGGGCATCTGCTACCGCATTCTGCCGTGAAATGGTGCTTTGGTGAACATTCATGCGTCGGGCAACTGCACGTTGAAACTGGCCAGCTTCAAGCAAACCAATGGCGATATGACGGTTGGCTTCACTTAGACGTGGCATTTTGCGTTCGTCAACAATATTCCAAATACAGTGAATAATCGACAGACAGCGATCAACCTTTTATACCCATCATTGAGACTATCTGATCCCCAACTTTCACGTGCATTGCATGTGACTTGTGTATTCTATGACACTACACGTAGAAATTGAAAATCATGCTGTTAAATAAAGGTATTTTACGGATGGTGCGTTTTGTTGTGATGTTTCAAAACATAAACACCATAGGACTCATAAACAGAGCAAAACCTTTTGTAAAATGAATCACGTTTTAATTCATTGCTACATGAAATTGCTATTTTCATGATGCGTTTCTTTTTGCGGAGAGTATATGTTTATCTTTATTCACCTGATAAATATGTTTTTAAACATTGGTTAATAACTATACAAAAAACAATAACAATAACCATTTATTACACTACATCTATATTAAAGTCCAAATTTTTAATACTCTTTACCTATTTCATATGTTTTACCTTTTTAATTCCGCTCTCCATTCAAATGTCCCTTAATACTCAGTTGTTTGTATTGTTTTGGTGTGTTTTTTGTTCGTTGTTGTTTTGTTTTGTTTTTTGGAAGGGGAGGGTTATTGCTTGTTGGTAGTAAAACCACTCTTTCAAAATTTCTTAATAAGTGTACTACCCCGTCGCCGAACGAAATACCTTAGTTGTGCGTGCGACGTTAAATAAAGCAAATAACAACAACAACAACAGCGTAACCCCCTCACTCAGCAATAGTCCAGCTATATAGCGGCGGTCCGAAAATAATCGAGTCTGGACCACACAATCCAGTGATCAACAGCACGAGCATCGATCTACGGAATTGGGAACCGATGACATGTGTCAATCAAGTCAGCCCCTGACCACCCGATCCCGTTAGTCGCCTCTTACAACAATAATGGGTTGCTGGACCTTGACGTACTTTGAACTCTTGGTAGAAACGGTGTGCCTTGTCACTCTGCATGTTAATGCCTAGATCTAGATACGAAGGTCTCACTGGCCTCCGTTATTTCTATCCTGACGGTGTTTGGGTAGTTGACCTGTATTGACCAAACTCAAATATTTCACATACCCGGGGATTAAGGTAAACATTTTGGTTAGATTTCTTTGTTTTTATCTTCCCAGAGAAGAAATTCCGACTCAAGAATGAAAATAATTTTTAAACTTCAATCCTTGCCAAAACGACACCAGGTCATAAGAGAGGTTTGGGAGTTATACAGAAGAGATCGGTTTGATCATCCAAATTGAACACATATAGTTTCCACGAAGTAACTATTATTACGTATTTACAATCACTGCCTGACAATCATTACATAACATCTATGGCTACACATATATCAATCACCACGTATGATTACATAACATCTATGGCTACACATATATCATTCACCACGTATAATTACATAGCATCTATGGCTACACTTATATCATTCACCACGTATAATTACATAACATCTATGGCTACACATATATCATTCACCACGTATGATTAGATAACATCTATGGGTATACGTATATCATTCACCACGTATAAATACATAACATCTATGGCTACACATATATCATTCACCACGTATAATTACATAACATCTATGGCTACACATATATCATTCACCACGTATAATTACATAACATCTATGGCTACACATATATCATTCACCACGTATAATTACATAACATCTATGGCTACACATATATCATTCACCACGTATAATTACGTAACATTTATGGGTACACAAATATCATTCACCACGTATAATTAGATAACATTTATGGGTACACATATATCATTCACCAAGTATAATTACATAACATATATGGCTACATATATAGCATTCACCACGTATAATTACATAACATATATGGCTACATATATAGCATTCACCACGTATAATTTATGGCTACACATATATCATTCACCACGTATAATTACATAACATATATGGCTACATATATAGCATTCACCACGTATAATTACATTATATGTGATGTCTGCACATTTATCACTTACCTCAGACTTACATTAGAAATATTAACCATTAATCAATTACATGATAATAGCATTACAAACATTGCCCACAAAATCGCCACTGAATCGTTTACATTAGAATTACATTGTCAATATTACCAACACATTTATGGAACAACCCAAAAGGTGCCTGTCAACTGTAACGCGTCGCAACATTAATGATGAGAAATATGTCCAGA